GGTTCAGTGGATCCAGGATGGAGACGCCAACACAAAATTCTTCCACATTACCACAATGCAAAGAAGAAGGAAAAATAGAATTATCTGTCTAAAAGATGAAGCAGGGAATTGGCTCCAAAATCAAAAGCCCATCAAAGACCTAATTATTAACTACTACCAAAACCTCTATACTACGGGTCACAATCAATCACCGCTCAATAATATATACCTATCCTACAATTCAAAAATTAGTGACCAAGATCATTCATACCTAAGCAGTATTCCCTCTATAGAAGAAATAAAAAGGGCATTAGACTCCTTTAAACCCTACAAAGATCCGGGGCCGGATGGGCTTCATCCTTTCTTTTACCAGAAATACTGGAAGGAGACAAGCAATCATCTCATTAACTTTTGCCAAGTATCATTCCAATCCAAAAGAATGCTTAAGAGCATGAATAACACCTTAGTCTGTCTAATAGCCAAATGTCAAAATGCTAAAACAATCAGGCAGTTTAGGCCTATAAGCCTATGCAACACGGCTTATAAGGTCGTCACTAAGATAATTTCTAACCGCATTAAAGCCTTCCTGCCGAATCTCATTCATCCTACACAAACTAGCTTATTAAGGGCAGAAGGGCTGCTGACAATGCTCTAGTCATAAATGAGGTACTAGACCACTTCAGGAAAACTAAAGGAGAAAAATCTAAAATGATAATTAAAATCGACCTAGAAAAAGCCTTTGACAAAATTGAATGGTCTTTTGTCAAATTTTCCCTCAACTCTCTTAACTTCCCTCCTGACCTCGTCGATCTTATAATGTCTTGCATCTCTACCACCACCACGGTTATTCTTATCAATGGATCAAGAACAGAATTATTTGAACCATCAAGGGGTATTAGACAGGGGGACCCCCAATAGCCGGGACATTGAGGAATATCCAGAAAGGCATTTCGGGAATCGGCCTGATTCTCCCCGTATATATTTGTCATATGTATGGAAATGCTCTCTAGGTTAATTGACCATGAAATAGATTGCTGTAGATGGACTCCCATCAAAATAGCTCCCAAAAGCCCGGAGTTGTCCCATCTGTTTTGCAGACGATCTTATCCTCCTAGTTGAAGCCAACCAAAAAAGCTATAACTCAATTATAGACACTATTATCAAATTTTGCGATGCTTCGGGGCAATATATCAATTTTGGGAAATCAAAAATTGTGTTCTCCAGGATTACCCCTACGGATTATAAAGATCATATGAGCAACTGCTTCTCAATGAGATATACTAATAACTTTGGTAAGTACCTAGGCTTTCCTATGCCCAATGCCAATCCTACCAAAAAAGATTTCCAATTCATCTTAAACAGGATGAATACTAGACTAAAAGGTTGGAAAACTAAGTTCCTTAATATGGCCGGTAGGTCAACCCTCATAAAAGCAACCCTAGCCGCAATCCCGAACCACGTCATACAGATATATGATCTCCCCAAAATAACCCTCAACAAGATAGAATCTATCCAAAGAAACTTCCTATGGGGTAGCACGGAGGAAAAAAAGAAATGCCACCTTGTTAAATGGAGCATAGTCACAATGCCTAAAAAGCAAGGGGGCTTAGGTATTCCCAACACCCATTGGAAAAATTCCTCTTTCAATGCAACATTAGCTTGGAGATATAGAAAAGAGAAAGAGGCCCTATGGGTCAAAACTATATCTAGTAAATATAACCATAGGAAAAGCAAGAATATAGGCTCTCATACTTGGAAGGTCATTAGGAAGGGTTCTGTAATTTGCAATGCCAACACCAAATGGCTGGTAGGAGATGGGACATCCATTAACCTATGGCACGATAAATGGATAAATCAATTAGGAGCACTTAGAGACTACATCCAGGGTCCCATCCCAGCTAGAGAGTTAGACCTAAATCTCTCCTGCGTTATTAAAAATGGAATATTCGACCTTAGAGACTTGTCTTTCGAATTATCCCCCGATATAGTCTCCAAGATAAATTGCACTTACATAAAACAAACTAGGCCCACTACTGACTCATACACTTGGGACTCAAAGGGTCACAACTGTTTCTCCGTTAAGGCTGCCTACGAAGCAATCTCAGACTTTACTTGCAATGAAAAAGACTACTCTTGGCTCTGGAAAATCAACTCCCTAAACAAATTGAAATATTTTCTTTGGACAATCATTTGGGACAGGTTACCCACAAAGCATATGCTGACCGAAAGAGGGATTTGTCACGACGACACTTGTAACATTTGCAATAAGAAAACTGAGAACATAGAACATATCTTCTTCCGATGCAACTACTCTAGATCCATCTGGGAACAAATAAGTATTAACCATCCTTTCTCTCAGAACTCTTTAGGAAAAGATATCTTGTACAATTGGTTTAATAAATAACTCATGTCAAGGAAATCCTTCAACAATCACCTACGCTGGTCAGTTTTCCTCCCGTGGCATATCTGGAACTTCAGGAATGGGATCCTCTTCCAAGGAACTAAATCCCCTATTACCATAAGCCAACCCATTAGCAAAGCCATGGAATACCTTTACATGGCAAAAAATCTTAGCTTAAAAATACCCAAGAAAACTATCCTTGTAAAATGGGAGCCTCCCAATCCCAGCTTTTATAAACTAAATATTGATGGCGCATGTGTAAGAAACCCAGGAGTGGAAGGAATAGGAGGAGTGTTTAGGGATGATAGGGGTCAATGGATCTTAGGTTTCAATATAAGATTCGACCATGCTACTAACATATATATGGAAATCCTGGCCCTACTCCATGGAGTCAAGCTAGCACTAACAGAAAAGCTATTCCCATTAGTAATAGAGACGGACTGTTTGGAACTAATAAATCTCCTAAAATCTAATAACTGTCTCTACCAAAACTTGATTGATGATTGCAGGTACCTATTGCGGAAGGCGAATGATCCACAACTGAAGCATGTTTTTAGAGAGGCTAATGGAGTAGCGGACCTATTAGCTAAAAATGGTTGTAGCTTGAACACTTTTTGTATTTTGCAAACTTATGCTATTCCGCCTGTTTTTGTTGTTCATGTACTTAAAAGAGACAGTCTAAGTACAATGTTACTTAGGCTGAGCTCTAGTTGTAATAATTCTTAGCTTGTTGTTGTTTGAATAAATCATTTATTACCACAAAAAAAAAAAAAAAGTCCTACCTAGGCGTGTATGAAAACAGACGATGGATAAGGAAAATGAATCTTGTAATTAAATTGAAAGGCTAATATAGAAAGAACGTGTTTAGGTTTGCTGCCTAACACCTTTCATAAATCATCCGACAGCAATAATGCGCCTAAAGTTTACTCGTGGTAGGTAGTGGTCATGGTTGGATTCGAGTAGGTTTTTGGTTTTTCCAAAATTAATTTTTTAATCGATTCGAATTTTGTCGGTTTTTCGATTATTTATCAGATTTTTTCTTAAATATAAGACATACACCACCAAACGTACATTTCGGCGACTATAATTTCAACTTAACACTATCAAATCAATTGCTCTTTGAGAAATCTATTATTTAATAAGATATATTGATGATAATTGAATCAAATAGTGATGAATAATTTAAGTATTCAATTAATAATCGATTATTTTTAACAGGAAATAAATTCTTGTACTTAGCAAAACAAAACTACCAATCAAACTAGAATATAAAGCAAAGAATTAGATTATTATAATAACAAAGAATTAGACTAAAAATACAAATGACAAATATATACCATAAAATTTTAAAAACTTTATATGAAAATATACATATATATATATATATATATATAGATGTAATAATAAATTTAAATAGCTACTTTTATAATCGGTTTGGTTTGGTTTTTTCTGTTATTTTTTTATTAAAATCAAAACCAAACCAAATTTGATCGATTTTTAAAAATAAAAAATCAAACCTAAAAAGTATCTATTTTTTTGGTCGATTTGGTTTGATTTTCAGTTTGGTTCGATTTTTCGATTTTTTATGAACATCCCTAGTGGCAGGACCTTATAATAGTGAAGCCCCAAAATATCATGATTCATGCCTTGTTATTCAGATAATATATGTACTGTGTAGAATAGAATACGAACAAATAAGGGAATTTTTGTTGTTGGAATATATACTGTTAACTATGGATTTAATTTGGAATAATATTTATTATAGAAAAATTATTTATTCAATTTTAATAAAGTTATAAATAGATCATATATATATTCGTCTGTGCCCTTTGCTTATATAGTAGATGATTTAATGTATAGAATTTAACTTATACACGGACGATTAAATCATCGATTCTTATAAGTATAAAAATTATGTTCACAATCTAAGATGAAATTGGACAAACCATCAGAATGATTGTAACACAAGATTAAATATAATTTATCTTGATTATTGAAATCAATAAAATTAACGTATTTTTATTTATTTACATTATGTAGTTAATAAATATATATCACAATTATAATGCGTATATGAAAATATATACTACAACTTTATTTTTCTTTTTTGTGTATAGCAAAGATTTATTTTCCTTCTTTATATATTTTTATGAAATTATAAATATAGTTATCCATAATTTATGGTTATCTCTATATGCAAGTGTATTTCATAAAAGCTATTTTATTGTTTGTATATCAAGTATATAACACATATCAAGTGATATGCATACAAAAATATATAGTACAACTTTATATTCCTTATTTTAGTATTGTATATCAAAAATAAAAGGAAGACAAATATAAGGATCACACTATGTAAGCGTTTGGACATAAAAATTGGAATTGTTTTAAAAGAAAAATATTTAGAATTAAGTTGAAAATGGTAAAAATTTAAAATTATATTTGGACATATATCTCACTTAGAAAAATTTGCAGTTTATGAGTGGAGAAAAATATTTCTGAAAATTTTAAAAAATTGATTCTTTTAAAAACTTATTTTTCGAATTTTTTTAAAATTCCATGGACAAACACAATTTTGAAAAAAAAGAAAAAGTTGAAAAAAAAATGGACAAACGGGGCCTACACCATATACACCAATAACATTATAAAAGATCACACTTTATCCATACAACACAAATACCATTACACCCTAAAAATCATACTGGAAAAAGCATACATACAAATTACATATGCCAAGTAAAAACAGCTCCGGCGACAGAGAAATTCGCCGCCGGTAATGAACACAGAACAGTGGCAAAGAAAATGAAAGAAAAGAAACTTGGAATATAACAGCCATTATTAAAAAAATCTGATTAAACTAATCACTTCTTGCCTAAGAAGTCACCAGCCATCTTAAGATAATCTGATCCTGATCCACCTTCAGATGCTTTCGCCGATTCACCATCTCCTGGTTTCAAGCAATATTAAAAGTTATGTAGTATGCTTAAAATTATTTTCAAAGTCTTTCATTGCTTTTTTAATCTTAAACTATATGACCATTGAAACAGATAGTAATCCCTCTATTCTAATTTATAATATAAACGTACTCTTTCCTTTTAAATTGGTAAAAAAAAAAAAAAAACACTTCTTATATTTAGAACTCTCTTCGCCCTAATTTATGCGACATTATTCGAATCTTCAGGGACAAATAAATTATTCTTTGCTCGTCATTTTTTTATGTCTTAAATATTTTAAATTATTAAATATTTTTACGTAATTTTATAATATATGAAAACTTAAAAATCTTAAGTCCCACCAAAGGAGTAATAATTTAACTTTAAAATACTTAAATCTATATATGAATTATTTAGTTAGTTTCAAAATATTTAGTCAAACGCTTAAAAGCATAAAGTGTGACTGAGAAAGTACTAATTAACATTATCTTCACCTGCTGGTGCGGGTGCCGGTGCCGGTGCCTTTGTTTCTTCAGTATCTTCTGCAGTCGGTGCCGGTGCCGGTGCCTTTGTTTCTTCAGTAGCTGGTACGGCTGCAGGAGGCTTTGCAGCGGCAGCATCGGTGGTGGTGGAGGGGTTAGCAGAACCGTACTGGTGGAGATAAGTTTCAGCTTTTTCAACATACTGTCCAACTCCTTGAGTTTCATCTAACTTTCCATATTTCTGTGCAGCGTCAAGAACATCAGCAGCAGCTTCAGCCACCTTTTTGTTATCGATTTTGCCGGAATCTTTGTTGTATTGGCTTTGAGCTGCTTCTGCTAACACTTTTGCACTGGAAAAAAGGTCAGTAGTTGAAGCTTCCTCGCCGGCGGTTTTCTTAGGCTCGTCGGCTGATTGGCCGCCGGCGCTCTTAGTCAAAGATGAGAGGAAATTCATGATATTTTCTTGTGAAAAGGAAGGAGAATAAGTAACTGTGTTTTATGTGTTGGAGATTGGTTTGAATAGTGAGGAGGTTGATAATATGGAGTTGATATATATAGAGGTAGCTTTTCGTTAAGTTTCATTATTGATACACCGACCAATAAATTGTGAGGTTTCCCAATTCGGTATGCTACTTCAAGAAAAGCAAAATGCATTTTCGTCCCTGAAATTTCGTTTATATTTCAGTTCAGTTCTTAAAACGGCTGCCCGGTGCACTAAGCTCTCGTTATGCACGATGTTCGGGGAAGGATCAGACCACTATGCCCTATTATATGCAGTCTTTCCTTGTATTCTACAAGAAGTTATTTTCACTGATTGAACCCGTGATCTTCTGGTCACATGACACCAACTTTACCAGCTCCACTTCCAAATCAGTTATTGAATGATTTCAAATTATATGAACCTTATTCCCAAACTAATAAGTAGTACTCTAAGGGTCGTTTGGTTGGAAAGAAGTAATCACAGGATTAATTATCTCGGGGTTATTTATTCTACCTTTTCATGGGGATAAAAAAGTTATTACGATCCCGGGATTAATTATATCGCAAATTTTTCTCAATTAAACATGAGATAAATTCTTCTTAAATTTAATTCTGAGATTAATTATTCCTTATCCCTCGTACCAAACGAGCTCTAAACCATTTACCTCGATCTGTAACCAAAGTCATAGTTCGGTCTAGTCTTAAAAAATGTAATTAACTTATTTCCTTTTCAAATTGATAATATATTAATTAGTGCATTTTTCAATGATGTTACTGTTTAGTTTAATATTTTTTAAAAGAATGAAGGCTTGAAATTTTTTAATGGTGTTTGGTTAGGTAACAAAAAATATTTCTGAAAAATTATATAATTTAGGCAAATGTTATGAAAGACGAAATGGGTAAGGAGGGAGAGGATAATAGGTCAGGGTCTAGAGGTCGAGGTGTCGGTGGCGAGGTTAGGGGTGGGGTGGGGGTGGGGATGGGATGGCGGGGGTGAGGGATGAGGGATGAGGGATATGTGTTTGTCCATGAAAATTTGTAAGCTTTTAAAAATTTTGAAAAAATGTAGTTTTTTGAAAACCAAAAAGTGACTTTGACCATTTTTTCAAAATTTTTAGAAAAACTTTTTTCCTCACTCACAAAACTGTAATATTTTTACAAGTGAAATATCCAAATATAATTTCAAATTTTAAGTACTGTTTTTAACTTAACTCCAAATATTACCTTTTTTTAAAAAAATACTATAATTCTTATGTCCAAACTCTACTAAAGTTCCTTGTTTGGAGACCAAAACAAAAGGAATGAAATAGAAATTCTATCAAAACTATAGGGACGAAAGTTGAAATTTAGTTAAAATGTTGGAGGATAGTGAGATTTTTTATTGGAAAGCTAAGGTGCTTCATGAACGTGTCTCATGGGGAACGCCCGGCCCCCACTCTTCTGGTGGGGCCCATAACGTGACTGATCAAAATCAATAAGAGGATATGATTAGGTGTCGGCCACACACATTATACGCGACTTTTCCTCAAATAATTCAATTGTTTTCAACTAACAAAGCGTCGAACAAAGGCTCTATGACTATAAGTAAGTCTTTTTGATTATTAATGTTTATTGAAAGCCATTTATTGTTCTCTCCACTCCACTTCAATACTTTTTTTTTTTTTGGTTTTCCATCGATATTCGGTACCCGCATTGGAACCAGATTATGTTCCGATTCGCGTCGCGTAAGGCCGCATTCGGGGGGAAGCGCTCCCTACCAAAGATTTTTCTATACCCAGAGCTCAAACTCGAGACCTCTGGTCAAGGGAGGAGCAGTCTCATCCACTGCACCATATCCTTCGGTCAGTTCAATACTTCAACTACTTCCAAATTACTTTTGCATCCAATTCCATACTGTGGATCACAACAGTGGGACCCCAGTTGAGGATAAATTTTTAAAATTTTTATCCAATATTTTATAATCGCATGGAGAACTCACTATTTTAAATTTGCTGACACATAAGATCCTATAAAGGGAAAGGGTTCTTTGTTTGGATGAATGAAGAAAAGTATTCTTAGCAGAAAATTGCTTATAAAATAATACCTTTTTTTGGGATTAAAAATAAAATTCTTGTGTGACGGCAATATAGTGCACGATTTAGTGGCGGTATTGCATAATACCGGTATTAAGTTAAACAAAAATTTATGTATCTTTTTATGCGGAATATAATGTGAAATAAGAAGACCTGTATTACTTTGATTTAAAGATAAAAATATTCTTAAAGTAAGTATTACTTACATAATTTCTTGTATTATTAGTGGCTTCATGATATCCATTCATCATTATTCACGTCATGAAATCCTTGCATTACAATTCTCGCTAATTAGTACGTGAACTAAATGATCCTTAATTTGGAAAGTCTTTAGAAAAAACAATTTAGTGACAAGTTGTGTGTTTACAACAACAATAACATATGCAGTTGCCAGTGTGATCCCACATAGTGGGGTCTTGGGAGAGGGCAGCGTGCGTACGCAGACCTTACCCTACATCGTGGAGATAGAGAAGTTATTTTCAATAGACCCTCGCTTGGCGAGAAATCGTGCGTTTAATTTTATATTTTTTTTTTATTTTTTGCCGAAAATGTTTTTGGAGAGTAATTGTGTTTGTTCTAATATTAAAGACATATCCTCTAATTATTCTTTTTTAGTTCTGTGTACGGTCAAATCAAGGATAATGTTACCCCGATTTCCGATAAAAAACGAAAGGGAAGCATGATTTGACATGACCTCGGATAAAGCTGAGGGGTTCCGCGTCTCAAAGCCCGGGGAGGACGAATGGTGCACCCGGGGCTGGAGACCGTAGAGCATCGGGTCCGAGAAGAGTGAAGGGCAGAGGCTAAGGAAAAACGGTTAGACACGATAAGCGGGGAGCCGTAATATCCGTCCCCAACCGGATGTTACGGCGCAAATCTCACCCGGTATCGACTGCATATCAACGTTTACTAGAAGGAGAAGATTTTTTACATTATTTAGACTTGTACTAGGATTGAACTCCCCTAATATATAAAGGGGAAAACCTTTTCATTTTAAAGACACTGTTGGCATGCATATCAAAGCAATAAAAGTTTATTTTTGTTATCTAGCTATTGTTCATAGTGTTCTTTAGCTGCCTACTTATTTGGTTGCAACCGAGCTCGTCTCTAGGGCTTAACCGAGGTCAATTTTCAGTGTTCATCTAAAAGCTAGGATAAATTGTTCATCACGTTTGGTTTGATCATTTTGTTTTATTTTACTTTAATTATTTTCTGTTCATAGGTCGATCATATTAAATTAAATCACGTATCTTTTAACCACGTACAAGTTTAATTGTTACACATGTTAAGGGTAAACAAGTTCAAGAAAAGTGCTTTGACATAATTCCAGAAAATTAAACAAAGTTTGTTCTTGCAAACCTATGATGACCCAACCCGTCGTCTCATGTATTATAGCCCTGTTTCCCCCATTTATTGTTCTTTCATGTTTTATTATCAGCAACGGGTGAGTTAGAGTTGAATTGAATTGGTTTGGATAGGAAATGAGACACTTAGTCTCTTTAAGGAAGGTTTGGTTTGGAAAAGTCAACCGAACGTTGACTTATTAGTTAGAAGGCTCGGATGTGAATTCCGGTGATTCGATTAGCTTCGGGAGGTGATTTGTGGCTTAGGAGTGCGATCGGAAGTGATTTTGAAGGTCCGGAGTAGGATTAGGCTTGAATTGGCAAAGTTGGCATTTTGGCGAATTCCGGTGGATGGGTGAGATTTTGATCCGAGGGTCGGAATGGAATTCCGAGAGTTGTAGTAGCTCCGTTAGGTGATTTTGGATATGTGTGCAAAATTTCAGGTCATTCGGAGGTGTTTTGGTCGGGTTTTTGATCGAATGCGTAATTCGGAAGTTTTTAAGAAACTTAGGCTTGAATTCGATGTGATTTGATGGTTTTAGCGTTGTTTGATGTATTTTGAGGATGAGAACAAGTTTGAATGAGGTTTTAGGATGTATTGGTGTTTTTGGTTGAGGTCCCGGGGGCCTCGGGGTGAATTCGGGTGGTTAAACGGAGAATTCGGAGTTTGTTGCAGGTTTGAAGTTGCTAGCGTATTGGTCGCAGAAGCGGTCCTTGAGGGACCAGGGCTTTCCGTAGAAGCGGACGAAGTTCCGCAAACGACTTGAAGGAAAATCGCAGATGCGGTGAGTAGGCCGCAGAAGCGGTGAAATTGTCGCAGAAGCGAAAACAACTGTTACAGAAGGGTTTAAAATATTAAATTTCATCCGCGAACAAGAGTTGGTTCCACCATTTTTAAGCGGTTTTGAGAGCTTTGAGCGAGAATTTTCGAGGGCTTTGACTGAGAATCAATTGGAGGTAAGTTCCTTGGTCTAAATATTCGAGTTTATGATAGAAATTACATGTAAATTGTGAAAAATTCATCAAAAACGGGTCAAGCTAGGGCTTGAAAAGTTGTGATGTAAAAACGGATTTTGAAAGGGCATTTGAACTCCGATTTTGGTAAAATTGGTATGTGTAGACTCGTGGCGAGACGAGGAATCCAGTGATGTAAATTTCGTAATTTTTCGAGAAGTGGGCCCGGGGCTCGGGTTTTGCCAACTTAATGAATTTTGGTATTTTATAGAGTCTTTTCGATTGGGTTATGTTTCTTTAGCCTATTGTAATGTATTCGTTGTGGTTTTAATCAGATTCGGCGTGCGAAGAGGTTGATTCGAAAGGCAAAGGCATAGCGAGCTAGGCTTGTGGCCGGCTTGAGGTGAGTAATAGATGTAGATGATGACCTGAGGGTTTGAAACTCCGTTATATCACATTGTGACGCTATATTGAGGCGAGACACGTACTCTATGACGAGTGCGGGATCGATTGTGACTGGGGATTTTGACCTAGTCCGTTCCGATTGATGTACGTACTGTGTTCTTGACTAGAAATTGTTTCGTAATCATTCTACTTGGGTTTTATGAATATGTTTGGGGCTTTGTGCCTATCATGTGCATCCTTCAGGGATCCTTATCACTGCTTCCATGATGCTTAGCATATTTCATGATATCAGTCCTGAGTTAGACACTGCCTCGAAATGTTTAGTAAATAAATAAAGGTTTAAACACTTAGCTCTATAATTCCTAATAATTGAAACTAAAAATGAACAATTTGACTGTGCCCGAGTGGCTTGCATGTATATATATATATATATATATATATATATATATATATATATATATATATATATATATATATATATAT